CCAGTCGATCAGCACCTCAGTGACCGCACCCTTGCTGCGCAAGGGGAGGACTGTGGTGTAACGCAAGTAGTCGTCAACCACCAACAGGAAGTAGCGCTCGTGACCCTGCCCACGGCCGGGGGCTGGGCCCCACACATCCATGTGAAGCGTCTGCAGGGGAGCCTCTGTCGGGGGGAAGTGGGAGGAGTGAGGAGTAGCCCGGAGGCGACCCTCGACACAGGGGACACAGGAAGGTCCTGGCCCGGAGGGGAGAGGAGGGAGAGACTGGGGAAGACCAGAGACAAGGACACGGGAAGCCATGCTCCGAAGACGGGGCAAGGAGGGGTGGCCAAGACGGTGGTGCCACAGGAGAGTCTCGTGAGACAGGAGGCGACAAAAACAGGGGGCAGACCCAGGACCTGACCGGGACGCAGCAGCAAGCACCTGACCCGACGCAGCCACCTGACCAGACGCAGGGACAGGAGGAGACTCAACAGTCAGGGTGTAGAGACTCGACCCCGGCCGACGCGAGAACGTGGCCAGGTGTCGGCCTGTGCGTGCCTCCGTGCAGTGGGTCACCCGCTGACTAGCAGGAGTGAACTGGTGAACCCCCACATCCTGCAGGTCCGCGCCACTCACCAAGTTCGTAGAGAACGAGGGAAGGTACAGACCAGACAGGGTGCCCGAAGGGGCAGCCGGACACGGGAGGACAGTGGAGAAGTGAGACAGGACAGGACCCCCAGAGGGGTCAGCAAGGGAGACTGCAACCGGCCGGCCGAGCGGCGTAAGGGTAGTGCGGTCTCGAAAGAAGGAGCGAGAAGCCCCGGAGTCAAGTGTGAAAGTGAGGGAGGACGAGGACGACGCAGTACCTGAGAGCGCAGTCTCACCAGTACCTGAGAGCGCAGACGCACTGGCACCTAGAGCAGCAGCCTCACAAGCACCTAGCGCAGCAGTACCAATGCCCGGGTCGGGCTGGAAACACCGGTAACCCTCATTCTCCTCACTATAAGTCACAGCATACATAGCAGCAAGGATAGCATCAAAGATCGCTACACCAGCCCTAAGAAGCTCATCCCAGCGAGGGATCTCACTAGCCCCAGGGAACTGCTGACGCCAAGCGTCCGTCAGGCGGCCAAAGCAGCGCTGGGTGGCGTGGGCACCCCCACACTGCTCACCCGCGCGGTCGCCGGAACGAAGAACGTAGGTGCAGGGACCAGTACCCCCACCCCTCTGACGCCCAGCGTACCACTCATGAAGCTGCTAAGGCGGAGGGATGTCCCGCGAGCGCTGCTGCTGCTGCCGCTGCGAGCGCTGGCCACCACCACCGCCGCTACGCTGCTGGGTACCACCCCGACCAGCTCCACCTCCTCCACCACCACCGCCTCCTCCGCTGCCGCCTCCACCGCCTCCACCTCCGCCGCCTCCACCTCCGTCGCTGCCTCCACCACCACCGCTGGCACCACCACCACCGTCTCCGCCGCTGCTGCCACCACCACCACCACCCCCGCCACTAGTCCCGCCGCCACCCCCACTCCCTCCGCCGCCACCGCCGCCACCGCCACCGCCCCCTCCAGCTCCACCCGCGCCCTTGCCCCCCTTGCCCTTGCTGGAGCGACGTCTCCCACTAGGGGCAGACGCCGCGCCGACCGACTCAAGACCAAGCAGGTCGGCAGCAGCAGCAGAGGCAACAGAGGGCAGCAAGGGGGAAGGAGAGCACCCCTCAAAGATGGGGGTGCGAGGGTCACCACGAGAAGCACCTACAGCGACTATGCTCTTCTCCGCTGCGAGGAGGGCCTTCTCGAGGAGGTCGACGGTAAGGGTGGTGGGACAGACTGCGAGAAAGTGGTCCCTGACGACGCGAAGGGAGTCAGGGAGGCGCGCGACTACGTAGTAGAGAGCGATGTACATGGGGGGTGGGTTCTTAGCGCAGAACTCAGCAGGAAGGGCGGCGCGGTAGCGAGTGTCACTAGTGCGGAGGTGCGTAATGAGGTCAGCGACAGTGGGAAAGGCAGAGAGGTCAGGAAAGAGGTAGGGAAGCATGAGACGGCTCAGTGCAGCAGTGGCAGGGGAGGAGTAGCGCGCAACTACAGCGTCGTACAAGGTCTGAGCACTCTTGTACTGACTAAAGTGCGCACGCTCAGAGGTAGGGAGGTGGCGACGCACAGCAAGACGTGCAGCAGCATCGCGGGTGGCCCACTGAGAGCGGACAGTGGGATCAGCATCAGCAGCAGGAGCAGGAGAGGCGCCAGAGGTGAGGTCAAAGAGAGAAAGGCCGTCAGCCCTGTCGCACTGTAAGAACAGCTGCAGGTCGTCTAACCAGACCTCAAAATCAATGGCGCGACCCTCAGCGTCAAAAGCTAGGACACTAGGGGTAGCCATGGCGACGACAGCGACGCAGTGCAAGCAGTAGGGAAAGAGCTCGCAGTGACAGTGGGACTGTGCTCACCAGGCAGGGCAGGTCGTGCAGCTCTGCAGAAAGGCGGCTCGGCGACCGGGCGGCTCGGGTGCACAGTGGCTCGGCTCCCGGGCGGCTCGGCGGCTGGGCGGCTCGGGCGCAGGGCGGCTCGGCTCCCGGGCGGCTCGGCGGCAGGGCGGCTCGGGTGCAGGGCGGCTCGGCTCCCGGGCGGCTCGGCGGCAGGGCGGCTCGGGTGCAGGGCGGCTCGGGTCCCGGGCGGCTCGGCGTTGGACGGCTCGGCTCCCGGGCGGTTCGGCTGCACTGCTGCCCGACTGCTGCAGGTGTGGCGGCGGGGCCGCGTGAGAGAGCCGGGGCGGGGACGCGTGAGGGCCGGCGGCGGGGCCGCGTGAGAGCCGGGGCGGGGCCGCTTCAGAGCCGGCGGCGGGGCCGCAAGAGAGCCGGGTAGGGGCCGCGTGAGGGCCGGCGGCGGGGCCGCGTGAGAGCCGGGGCGGGGCCGCTGCAGAGCCGGCGGCGGGGCCGCAAAAGAGCCGGCGGCGGGTCCGCTTGAGAGTCGGGGCAGGGGCCGCGTCAGGGCCGGCGACGGGGCCGTAAGAGAGCCGGCGGCGGGGCCTGGAGAGGGCCGACGGCGGGGCCACGTGAGAGCCGGGGCGGGGCCGCAAGAGAGCCGGCGGCATGGCCGCGTAAGAGCCGGGGCAGGGGCCGCGTAAGAGCCGGGACGGGGCCACGGTAGAGCCGGGACGGGGCCGCGAGAGAGCCGTCGGCGGGGCCACGTGAAAGCCGGGGCGGGGCCGCGCGAGAGTAGGCGGCGGGGCCGCGTAAGAGCCTGGGCGGGGCCGCGACAGAGCCGTCGGCGGGGCCGCGTGAAGGCCGGGGCGGGGCCGCGTAGGAGCCGGGGCGGGGCCGCGTGAGAGCAGGCAGCGGGGCCGCGTAAAGGCCGGGGCGGGGCCGCGACAGAGTCGGCGGCGGGGCCGCGTGAGAGCCGGCGACGGGGCCGCGTAAGGGAGGGCGGCGGGGCCGCGTCAGTGGAGGCGGCTGAGCCGCAGGGGAAAAGGCGACCCGAGGGGTCGCTAAAAAAAAATCGCGCCTCGGGGCGCGCTTCGGTGGGCCCAAAAAAGCGGTCCTTAGAAGGACCCGCTCTATACCATGTGAGAATAAGCGAACAGGAATGAATGAACTAGCAGTGAAATGAGTACAAGTAGGAAACCCTAGAATTGTGTACCCCCTATAGGCTAACCCACTGTAGCCTACACAAGCATAACATATATAATGTTTGACACACACAAGGAACTTTTGAGTCTGCGTTTTTATCGCAGGCGTGCCGCAACGGCTTCGTGTCGACCTGTCGCATCGCTGTACGACTTGCTGCGATCGAGCGTCGCCGTTTCTCCGCAGACCCTATGTGACTCTTGACGTGCAGCTTGTGTAGGTTTGTGTGGCACGCGAGGCACTTCATTGTAAACAGTACGACAACCCGAGCAGAATAATTATGACCCTCGCAAACCCAGATACAGTAGCGCATTTGACTGTCGGGTTTAACAAAAAGAAGCCCACCCTGCCGCTTGTGGACTAATACTCAATTAAGCACGTTAGGTCCCACGGAATCTTAATACGGCAGTGCTGCATTTTTTTCCTTTATACACCTCAACCACCAGGCGATTGGTTGTTGGCGGAAAAGGGGGACCTGGCAGTCGCAACGTGCACCATAGCAGGAAACACTCAAACCCTCATCACCTCCGTGCTCCCCTTGCATGCCTCCAGCTGTGACGATCGTCTGCTCTAGGCCCCAGACTTTGCCTCGTCCCTCTCCCTCCTCAACCAATTTTTTATGCTCGTAGACTGCTGTCAGGTTCTTCGCGGTAGCACAACCCGCAACCTCATAGTACTGCGTGAATGGAAAGCTAGACATCGTAACAAGGAAGTCAGACAATGAAGGGGCCCGAGGGGGCGATCGTACTGGTTGAATCGACTAAAACCCCGACGAAACAAATTTTGCGGAGTTAGTAACAGCAGATAAGACGGCCGAGATCGTAAACGAGTATCGCAAAAATAATGCGTCGACGGCGCGAGATGTTGTTGATTCCAGACGTGTCTCGTCATCCGGTGACGAATCGAATAGCGACTGCGATGTTGAGCCATACGCAAACAAGGGCATATCATCCCCTTCGAAACCAAGGGATAAGCGCGTGAAGCGCTTAGATGATCTCGTTCCCAAAGGCGGCCTGAAAGGTACGTGTTTATGGTCGCAGATGCGGAATATTCTACTTGTATGCATGGAACGATGCTTGTAGTCGTGTCTGACCTGTTGGAGGTTATCGTCTCTCCAATTGTGTTTCCACATCAGCGTCAGCGGACAAGCGTGACAACCGGGGGGGGGGGCGTAAGCACCGTCCAAGAAAAAGAGGCACTCGTTCACATCGTGAGGAAACGCCTGCGTCTGAAGGCGACGAGGAGGGCAAAGACGGGGGACCTGACAGCTTAGGTACGCTGTGGGTGTGATATCGACGGTTTATATTTTGCATGTTACTCATTACAATGACGCCGCATGTCATGCTGCAACTTCCAGCCAATAAGATAATGTGTGCACAGTATTTCTTATGTACCTGTAATGTCCGCCTTCGCAGATGGGACGGCAGGCCAACGCGCTCGTGGTGGCGGAAAGCGCAACGGCGGCAGGGCTGCCGCGGCCAAGGGCGGTCCCTCGGGCAGGCAGTCACAGGATGCGGATGGAGGCGACGAGGGGGATCATGCCGAGCCAGAAGCTCGTGGTGGCGGAAAGCGCAACGGCGGCAGGGCTGCCGCGGCCAAGGGCGGTCCCTCGGGCTTGCAAGATGCGGATGGGGGCGACGAGGGGGATCATGCCGAGCCGGTCACTACCCGTGGTGGCGGAAAGCGCAACGGCGGCAGGGCTGCCGCGGCTAAGGCCGATCCCTCGGGCAGGCCGGCGCAGGATGCGGATGGAGGCGACGAGGGGGATCATGCCGAGCCGGAAGCTCGTGGTGGCGGAAAGCGCACCGGCGGCAGGGCTGCCGCGACCAAGGGCGGTCCCTCGGGCTCGCAGGATGCGGATGGTGGCGACGAGAAGGATCATGCCGAGCCGGAAGCTCGTGGTGGCGGCATGCGCAACGGCGGCAGGGCTGCCGCGGCTAAGGGCGGTCCCTCGGGCAGGCAGTCGCAGGATGCAGATGGTGGCGACGAGAAGGATCATGCCGAGCCGGAAGCTCGTGGTGGCGGCATGCGCAACGGCGGCAGGGCTGCCGCGGCTAAGGCCGATCCCTCGGGCAGGCCGGCGCAGGATGCGGATGGAGGCGACGAGGGGGATCATGCCGAGCCGGAAGCTCGTGGTGGCGGCATGCGCAACGGCGGTAGGGCTGCCGCGGCCAAGGGCAGTCCCTCGGGCTCGCAGGATGCGGACGGTGGCGACGAGAAGGATCATGCCGAGCCGGAAGCTCGTGGTGGCGGCATGCGCAACGGCGGCAGGGCTGCCGCGGCTAAGGGCGGTCCCTCGGGCAGGCAGTCGCAGGATGCGGATGGTGGCGACGAGAAGGATCATGCCGTGCCTGCATGCCGTGGCGTTAACGATCATGATGAGGACGAGCCAGCAGCAGTGACTGATGGGAAAGGTGGACGTGAAGATGTGATTCCGTACCAACGGCGCAAGGCTGTGGATCCGGGCAGTTGCGACCATAAGGCGAGACAAGCTCGGCACGGCCCCAATGTGCACGTTTCGAGCTCGTCTGGTTCCGAGGAAGATTCGAGCGACAGTGAGTCGGGCAGCTCATCCGGGAGTGAGGAGGTATACGAGGACGAGGATGAGGAGGAGGAGGACGAGGATGATGAGGAGTTGGAGCCAGAGAGCGAGGATGGGGAGGAGGCTCGGCCTTTGAAGAGGAGGAGTGTGCGGAAGCTCAAGAAGGGCAACGCTAAGCAAAAATCGGAGAGGGGACGGGTGAAGAGCTGTAAACAGAGTGTGCGTCGTGCCAAACCACATGGCAAGCGCCAGAGACCTCGATTCGAAGCTAAAATTGTGGGTGTGCGTAGCAAGGTGAAGCGGGAGTTGAGTCCATGGGGATACTATGTCCATCAAGCTCTCATGATCGGCAAGCCGCGGACCCGTACGCTGCGTTACGCGATCCGATGGGTTCGGCTGGGAAGGGAGATTCGATGGCTTGGGGGTCAGCGCGGTTTGGCAGGGAAGCGACGGACCCGCCCCCCAACCATATGGGGGGTCACGCGGTTCATGTGAAAAACGAGGGGGCAACGAAGCGGCACGAACCCTCGGCAGCTGCGGCAGCGAATGACGGTGTGGGAGGAGGTGTGTGGGCGAATGCCTTGGGTGAATGTGGCGGCGGTGTGGAAGGCTCCATGTGGGATGTACGGGAGAGCAGGGGAGAAGGGGGGGACGAGAAAATGGATCCGGCGACTAAGGAGGGGAGGGGAGAGAGCATGGGCACACCTGGCGCATCCAGTCGGCCGGATGTGGCTGGCAGCAGGACTGTGGAGCAGCTCATGCGAGAGCTTGCCCAGCGGGATCGCGAAATCGCTGCACTCAAGGCAAGGCCAGGATCAGAAGGACCTGTCAAGCCCTGCACCCCTCCATCTAGGCCTCCTCCTCTAGCGTCTCTGTCGAGCGGCCCATCTGTAGGGGGCCTCGATCCAGGCGTGGCGCCAAAAAGCCCAGCGACGGTAGACGTACCAGTCCGTCGAACGCGTGGGATGCCCACACCCAAGCTGCTGAAGGTGAGATTGTTTTAGTGTTAAACAATGTGTGGCATGGGGCTCAGTGATAGCTGCAGCTCTCTCTCTCAACCCCTCTTGCTGCTGGTAAGCGTGTTTGTGGCATTATGCGCAGTGATAGCGGCATGCCTGCAGTGGGATAGGCATTCCCAGTACGCCTCGCTTCAGGGACGTGGCGCTGGGCGTACGATGCTCTCACATTCTGCCCCCGACCCCTAGCTCACCATAGCAGTTATCCATCCTCCATTGGCCCCTCTCTCCCATCCCTTCCCACCCTAAACCAGAGCCCCTGTTCATGGTGCTGGTGCTGGTGTGGGTGGCACGCGGCGCAAGGATAGCTCATTGTAGCAGTTATCCTTCCTATCCCTCCCCCCTCTCTCCCATCCCTCGCCTAGCTCTTCCAGAGCCCCTGTTCCTGGTGCTGGTGGTGGTGTGGGTGTCATGCGGCGGAGGGATAGCTAAGAATAGCAGTTATCCTTCATCTCACTTCCCTCTCTCTCCCATCCCTCCCCTCCCTCTGCGAGAGCCCCTGTTGATGGTGCTAGGGGTGGTGTGGGTGTCATGCGGCGGAGGGATAGCTAAGCATAGCAGTTTTCCTTCATCTCACTTCCCTCTCTCGCCCATCCCTCCCCTCCCTCTGCGAGAGCCCCTGTTCCTGGTGCTGGTGGTGGTGTGGGTGTCATGCGGCGCAAGGAATAGAGGAAGCCGTATCCGTCAACCCCATGCGGCCCCCTTTCTGTTCGCCGCTCCTCCCTCCCCTCTCTATCCCGTCCCTCTCCCTCCTCGTCCAGAGCCACTGTAAAAGGTGCTGCTGGTCACGCGTGTGGCATGCGGCGTAGCGTGCAGGGGGGTGGCTGCAGTGGAAGTTGAGACTCCTCGTACGAGGAGAACATGAACCCTCGCGCTGGGCGTACGGTGCCCTCTCACTCTGCCTACTCTCCCGTCTTTCGCTCTGACTATTTTATCCCCTCTCTCTCCCCTCTCACTCTACCATCGCTCCCCTACCTCAACCAGAGCTCCTGTTCATGGTGCTGGTGGTGGGGTGGGTGTCATGCGGCGGAGTGATAGCTCACCATAGCAGCTATCCTTCCTCTCCCTGCACCCTCTCTCCCATCCCTCCCCCACCTCTTCCAGAGCCCATGTTAATGGTGCTGTTGTTGGTATGGGAGCCATGCGGCGCAGTGATGGCAACAGCCCTCTCTCTCAACATCTGAATTCCGCCCTTCATTCGGAGGCATCACTCAATTTTACGTTTCCAATCCACCCGTCCGTCATAGGTTCATTTCGCCGTGGGGCGGGACCGGATGTGCCTAGAATGGCCAGACGATGCCATAGACTTCTACCCAACGCTCGAACAGCGCCTTCAGGTTTTGTATCAGGTTATCAGCGAGACGCACATAATTAAGCTGATGCAGCTGCGAGAGGCTATGGAAGACAAAAACATCGTCGACGGCTTCAAACGCGCTTGGACGTCATGGAAGAACGATCGTGGCTTCCACCTCAAGCGCAGAGTGCTTGTAACTTTCGGCAAGAAGGTGCAAGGCCTGCGTGCAGCCGATCTCTGGATGGGCACCAAGAAGAAGAAGAAGATTTGGAGAAAATACCAACCGAGTAAGTGCGCGCGTTTCTGTTTTACTTCACCATTCATTTCATCTGCTCGTGCACCCCTCGTGACGATGATGAACAACTTACCCTAATGCATCCCCACTGTGGCACGCAACTACATACCTGCTCTCCTTGCCCAGGCTTGTAGCGCATGTGCAGTCACATCCGCATGACAGCTTAACGTTGGTTCTTCTCCCACTCTCCCCTTCTCCCGCCCCCCCTTTAATCTACAGCTCTCCCCTTCCCTCCCGCCATCCCATTCTCTCCCTCCCTCCATTTCTCTTCAGCCCTCCCCTTCTCTTCCGCCCTCCATGTCTCTCCTGCCCTCCCCCTCTCCCCTGCCCTCCCCTTCTCTCCTGCCCTCCCCTTCTCTCCCGCCCTTCCCTGCTCTACTGCCCTCCAGCCAACCCTCCATTCATTCTATACCGCCCTCCACTTCGTCCATACCCTTTGGACAACCCCTAACCATGTCGTGCATGATCTTCGTCCCCGCCTTGTTCTGCGTGCGCGCAGGAGGGAATCAGCGGGTCAGCTCGTGGGGAAGCAGCAGAGACGGGCTCCCGTTTGCCAACGGCCGGTTTGTAGATGCGGTCCGGGAAGCATTTCGGAATCTCTGTGTCGGGCGCCGGGTGTGCGTCAAAGCCTACCACATTGCCTGGTCAATCATGGTGGTAAGGCATTATTGCTCTCCCGTCAGTTCGCTCTAGCTTTGCTTGCAATTCTTGCCCGCCAGACTGGAATGTGGGGCTATTTGCGCAGCCCGTGAACTCTACACGCGAGTGTCCACATATGTCTCTATTTCCCCTCTTTCCCATACTTTGCTACGCTTTTTCAGATTGACCAGGGCTTGGCAAAGGTTAAGAAGACCGACTGGAACGTCTCGAACTCCCACCGGAAGAACACCGAGTGGATGACGGGTTTGCACCGAAATGTGCGGTGGATTATCAAGGACCACTTCACACGCCACACCCCCGTGTACAACACAGTCGTGCAGGGCTTCAAGTGGGGCGACCGTGGCCTGTATGTTCACGAGTCAGGATTTGAGGCGTTCAAGGGGACGGCCACGCCTGACGAGGAGAAGAAGGACTTGAAGGAGGAAGAGCAGGAGGTGTACGACGCGGAGGACTTGAAGACGGATGACGAGGAGGATGACGAGGATCAGGAGGAGGACGAGGAGGAGGAGGAGGAGGAGGAGGAGGAGGAGGAGGAGGAGGAGGAGGAGGAGGAGGAGGAGGAGGAGGAGGAGGAGGAGGAGGAGGAGGAACAGTGGGGGCAGGAGCGGAGGAAGAGCAAAAGGCACAAGAGATGCAAAAGCAGGGGAGGCAAGAGGGATGAGCAAGAGGATGAGGAGGAGGAAGAGGAGGAGGATGTGAAACGGGGGGGGCGGGAGATTAGGAAGGGCAGAAGGCAGAAGAGAGGGAAACTCAGGGGAGGCAGGGGGGAAGAGGAAGAGGGTGGGGAGGAGGAGGAGGGGGAGCAGGAGGATGAAAATCATAGGGGGCAGGAGAGGAGGAAGGGCAGAAAGCACAAAAGAGGCAGAGGCAAGGGAAGCAGGAGGGAAGAGGAAGAGGAGGAAGAAGTGGAAGAGGAGGAAGAGGATGAGGATGAGGAAGAGGAGGAGGAGGATGTGGAACGGGGGGGGCGGGAGCTTAGGAAGGGCAGAAGGCAGAAGAGAGGGAAAATCAGAGGAAGCAGGGGGGAAGAGGAAGAGGATGAGGAGGAGGAGGGGGAGCAGGAGGATGAAAATCATAGGGGGTAGGAGAGGAGGAAGGGCAGAAAGCACAAAAGAGGCAGAGGCAAGGGAAGCAGGAGGGAAGAGGAAGAGGAGGAAGAAGTGGAAGAGGAGGAAGAGGATGAGGATGAGGATGAGAAGGGGGGGGGGCAGGAGCGAAGGAAGGGCAAAATACACAAGAGTGGCAAACGCCGAGGAGGCAAGAGGGTCAAGCGATGGGGCGACTAAACAAGGGGGGCAGCAGATGAGGCATGAGTGGATTTTACAAGGGGGGGCAGCAGGATAGGCATCACACACTTGCGAGGAGACATCAAAACGGAGGTAGAGGCATTGGTGGAGACAGCAAGGGGGGCAGCACGCCAGGCAAGAAAGTAGAGTCAGCATGGGGGGTAGCACGGGCGGCAAAAGTGTGGAGTCAGCAAGGGGGGCAGCAGTAGAGACAATGTGAGGAGTGTCCAAGGGTGGGCAACTAGCAAGGCAACCAGATAGTGCAAGAGGGTGCAGCAGAAAAGGCATGAGTTGAGAGAGTTGGGGGGGCAGCAGAAAAGGTACGAGCAGATAGAGGGGAGTGCACAAGGGGGGCAGCAGGTTAGGCATGACTGGAGCAAGCAGCTATAAAGGCATGACTGGGGAGCGCCAGGGGCGGAGCAGCAGACGCATGAGAGGGCAGAGCATGCAATGAAGCAGTGGACGCAGGGGCACGCTCGACCTAGAGCACCAGAGATGGGGTTCGGTGGAAGATATAGTGTATTGAAGCATGCTAAGCAGGTCATAGGATGATGCAGCTCAACCTAACTGACTAGGCACAGAGGGTTTAGGATGCTGTTTTATGTGCGTTTTTAGGGTGGAATTATCAACTTTTACCAAAGCTTCTGTACTGTTCATTTTGAATGCAAGATTGAGGCAACTTAACATAGTTTTAAATTACATATAAGGTCGTGCAAGTCTCCTACATAAGCTTATTTTAATGAACCCGAAATCCCATAAAGAGTACATTGCAATGAGATCCGATCTTCGAAATTGCTCTGCGGAAACTTGTACCAAACTTCTTCCGAAGGTGTTCACCTGGCAGGTTTGAACAGAAAAGCATTGGAGAAGCATTTGAAAAGCGTTCAAGAAAGCATTTGGAAAGCAACCTATACTTTCTCAAAAAAGCGTTCGAAAAACGTCGTTCAAGAATCATTCGACAAAACTCCAAAGCAACTTTTTTCATCGGTTTTCCGGATGCAGGATTTTTGTGATGCGTTCCCATTGTCATTGTGCGTAGGTGCCTCGAACGCTTCTATACGAGTGTATTCATGCCACTCTCAATGCAACACGTATTGTATCGTATCGTATCGTATCGTATCGCGTCGCATCGCATCGCCTTCATGTTGGCCCTCTGATTCGTGGATTACATGCATCAAACTCGACAAATATTTATTTGTTTCATGCTTAGGTCCCCCTCCCTTCCCTCCCTCCGTTCCCTCCCTTCCTTTCCCTCCCTTCCTTTCCCTCCCCAGGTTCTTCTATGGGACGGCCTTGTTGCTTCCCTCCTCGTCCCTCGCCTCCGCCACCTCTCCACCTCATCCCAGCACCTAGCGGAACAGCAGCGCTTTTACCCTCACACCCACTCTCACAACCACTCTCACAACAGTCACATCCCTTCTGCTGTAAACGCCTCTTTCGGAGGTGGGGAGTTTTCCTCCGACCTCTTGGCGGCCTTTTGTGCGGAGCACGGCATCCGCTAGACGTTCACGCTTCCAGCCTCTCCGCAGCAGAATGGGGTTGCTGAGCGCCGTATTGGCTTAGTCATGGAGGTCGCTCGCACCTCCATGATCCATGCGGCTGCCCCCCATTTTTTGTGGCCGTTTGCGGTCCGGTATGCCGCGCATCAGCTCAACCTCTGGCCCCATGTCTCCTTGCCGGAGACCTCGCCCACGCTGCTGTGGACGGGGAAGGTTGGCAATGCGTCGCGTTTCCGGGTCTGGGGTGCTCGTGCCTTTGTCCGCGATGCCACCGCGGACAAGCTCTCCGCCCACGCTATTCCCTGTGTCTTCCTTGGCTTTGTCCCGGACGCGCCTGGTTGGCAGTTTTACCACCCCACCTCGCGTCGTGTCTTCCCCTCTCAGGACGTCACGTTCGACGAGTCGGTTCCCTTTTACTGTCTCTTCCCCTACCGCACTGCGCCTCTCCCCCCCCCGCCGCTCTTCCTCGCTCTAGGTGCTACCGAGGTAGACCCCCTCCCCGCTCCCGGTCCTGCTCCTTCAGGTGTGTCTCAGGTAGACCCTCCTCCCTTGACTGCACCGGTTGAGGTCACTGGTGACTCAGGTCCTGCTCGGGGTGCTGATTCTGGGGGTGCTGAGCCAGATATTTGTACTGCAACTCTTTCGACAGATGGTGTCAACAACAAATGCGCGGTTCCCCGACTCACTTCATTTTGTTCGCCAGCGTAAATGTTTCGCTTAACCCTTTCGCGAAGATTTTTGGGCCCTTCGCAGCATTATCCTGCTTGCAGCTCCCTTCCCCATTTGACTCGCCCCCACCAACATGTTCTTCGCCAAGTTACAGACGTTCGGGGTTGCTACTGGTGATTGGTAGAATTTGCTTGGTGAAATCACTTGGTACTACTCACTCCTCGCTGTGTACTTCCAGTGGGAAAATTTCGAAGGACGTCGACACTAGCATGGTGCTCCTCGACACAAAATAGCTACGAGAGCTTGGAAAAGGGACGAGTCCAACGGACGACTCTTTTTTTAACGATAAATTGACATCTGAGATGTTTCTTGTCACGACAGATTGGTGACGGCGCAAGCATGAAACTGCGTGTCGACAGCGTCATAGCTACAAGAGTTTGGTAAAAGGCTACGATGACAGAAGTGACACTCGAGTTTGATGCTTGCGGAAATGCAAAAAGCAAATATATCCTTCGGTTGCGTCCATACTTCTAACGTTTGACACAGATACACGATTGGCTGCAATAATGGTACAAGAAGAATAGTACTATGGTACGCCCTATATCTTGCGAAAACTTTTTATTTCTTTCCACCCTTGCCACCCTTTCCACCCTTGCCCCCCTTCCCTCCTTTCCCACCCTTCCCGCCCTTTCCAGCCTTTCCGCCCTTTCGGGTGCTCGTCGTGCCGGCGGTCTGGCTACCCTCCCCCCTCCCTGATCCCCCCTGCTCCCCGCCAGCCCCGCCCTGCTCTCCGCTAGATCCCCCCTGCTCTCCGCCGGATCCCCCCTGCTCCCCGCCGGATCCCCCCTGCTCTCCGCCAGGTCCCCCTTGCTCGCCGCCAGGTCCCCCCTGCTCTCCGCCAGGCCCGCCCTGCTGGTTACCAGGTTTCCCTCCCTGTCCCCCCTTGCCCCCTTTCCCTCCCTTCCCGCCCTATCCTCCCTTTCCGCCCTTCCCACCCTTCCCTCCCTTCCCTCCCTTCCCAACCTTTACGCCGTTTCCGCCAGCACCGATCGGTGGGGGGCCATCCTCGCCTCCCCCAACGTCGCCGCCACTGCCGGTATCTCCGCCACTGGCGGTATCCCCATTGTCGCCACCAGGGGGTCCCTCAGGACCGCCCTGATTGCCGCCGACGTCGCCGCCTGGACCGCCTGTTTCTCCGCCAACGTCGCCGCCACTGCCGGTATCTCCGCCACTGCTGGTGTCTCTGCCAGTGTCTCCGGGATTGGCGAGTAGAGTAATGGTTGTCGACCCCGCGAGGCTCATGAGCGAGAGAGCCTTGAGGGCGAGGCTGCGACGTGAAGGTAAGGTCCTTCCAAACGCTGCGCGAAAAGGAGAGAATGCGAGAGTAATGAGGCGTCATGTTATGAGTCAGAACATTAAGAGTATCAAAATAAAAAACGGCGCGAAGGGGAAGAACGTGCGAGGAATGGAAGTGTCATATGGGAGAAGAAATCTGATGTTGGTGAAGAAGTGGTGATACTAGTCGCGGAATCTTACCAGGCGCGATGGAGGCTGACGCTACGAAAAGCGCAAGAAGCAGCAGCGACAAATATATGCCTCGCATTGTGTGACCCATTGTGAATTCGATGCTTGTCGAAGCGGAACGAACTAACGAAAGGAGTGGATGAGGCGAGGCGAAGAAGAGGGAATCAAAGCGATCAAGGAGCGGCTGGGGAAGGGCTTGTGGTTTGAAATGAGAACTGATGATAACGATGAGAGGGACGAGTGGTTTTTGTAGGAGGGTGGTGAGAACGCGGCTCGCACAACATTGGATTCACAGGGAGGAATTGGTTGGAAGGCACAGTTGGCGGGAAATGTGTTTTCGTGCCAGGTGGAATCCGTGAGTTTCGCTGTTCATGTATTTCACAAGCCAGGGAGTTGCGACTGTGACGATGCGAGCGTCGCAACCCTGGTTACTGTGACGAGGGGGCTGGCGAACTCGAATCCTTGAAATTCTACCAGCCTGCGAGGACAAAGTGGATCGCAACGAATCACAATTCACCGATGGGCACGGCGTGCTTCAAGTTCAGATTGCAGGTGGAAACTCCATTCGCCACACATGTTGAAACCGGTTGACCTGATTGCACCTGGGAGGAGGGAATCGAGCTCCTCGATGTAAAATGCGGATTATGCGGCAGCAAATGCTGTGGGAATGGGCAACAAGCGATTGTACCCATCATTATTGCGTTCCTCTACACTCAGACATTTGCACTTCATAGTTTGCTGCAGTCCTTTGCGGAATGGCAAATAACCAAAGCTAGGGTACTTGGGGAAACATTTTAAACCACCACAGCTTGGCTTTCGGTGGCCCCACAAGTAAGGGCAAATATAATATGTTTGGTACGCATTACTACTAGCACCAATTGCTCTTAGCCCTGGCTACAAGGCATGATTCTGCATCCCGTTCAAGTTCCAAAGAGCATAGCAAGTGTATAATGAGTACCAGGCCCTCAGATATCAGCGTAAAACACGCTGATTACGCTGATTTTGTAGCTCTGATTTCCGTTTTCCCTGAAAAATCAGTATATGCCTCATTTTTGCACTGTAATATCAGTATTTGCAATTTTGCCACACTTACCATTTTACGTGTTTCAGAACAAGTAACACTGACGAATCAGTATACTTCAGCGAGTCACACTGAAACGGACTTGACCGCCCGAGGGGGGAGGCGACGCGTTTACATACTGTACCTTCCCACGAAACCCCACCCCACCCACACACTTGGAATCGTTTCACATGCGCTGTACTTACTGCATGTGCGCGCCGAACCGTTTTGCCTCGCTGGAAGCCATCACACCAGAGTACGATGAACCTAGTTCAACAACTGCCCAATGAGAACACAGACAGCACACCACTGCTGGCACGGTCCACACCAACACGCCATAAAATATGGCAGTGGGGTGGATGGGGGTGTTGTCATCTTGCATGGAAAGACGGAAACCCAGGACCACGATCCCTCGCCATGGTGGCTCGGGAGAGGGGCTACCCCCATCTTCTCCCTCATTCTGTTCCTGCACTCGTCGTGAACCCCTGCAGGAAGTGACGTTCGAGCTCAACCTAGCAGTAGCTTCCCTCTCAAGCTCGGCACGCTCAGCACACCTGAGCAGCCATGGCGGATCCAATGCCCGCAGGTGACAACCCTGAATCCGTCCCAGCCACGAAGCCAGCCGCCCTTACTGGCCTAGACTTCTTACGACGAGCTTCAGCTGCTCCCGTGTTAGTCTCGCCATCAGCTCCTACCGTTGTTTTCCCTTCCTCGGGCCCCGAGGCACCTACCATTTGGACGCAGGGCGAGTGTTCGTCGCATGCTGGCGCTGCCGCATTACCTCGTGTCGCTGCCACATCAACTCCTGCCGCTACCGTATCAACTCCAGACGCTGCCGCATCAACTCCTCACGCTGCCGCATCAACTCCTGACGCTGCCGCATCAACTCTTGCCGCTCCCGAACCCACACGGAACCGTCATCCTGTCGCTCCCGGAACTACTCGCGTCGGACCCTGTCTCAAAAGGGGTATCAAAGTGACGTACCGCCAAACAAAGATCAACTGGGGTGCCAGTCAAGCTACGCCAACGTCTGGTGTGGGGAACTCCTCCCCGGAGGCCCGACAGCGTAAACAGAAGGGGAAAGCGGTTGAGGTTACCTCCGAAACAGAACTGCCCGACATAGCCGAGGAGAAATACCAGGATGCCTTATTTATGTTCAACAAACAGTGGTCCGACGACTATCTGTGGCTTGTTCTGTGTCAGACAAGTGCAGGGTTCCCGTCAATCAAGTGCTCGGTCTCCATTGCGCACGGCGGTGTGGGCACGAACTTCGGCGCCAAAGGAGAAGGGGCGACCGATGTGCAGACCCAGGCAATGCGGAAGCATCAATGCACAAGGAAGCACCGCCACGCTCTGCGCAAACAAAGGACAGCCGAGGCGGCGCTCAAAGCTAACCGCCGGATTGACGACAACAAGAAGGTGAAAGACGTCGAGAAGGAGCGCCTGCTCGCGCTATTTGAGACGGCACTCTTCATCGCTAAGTCCGACGCCCCGATCGAGATGTACGTCAACCTTGTCCAACATCTAGTGCAGCGTGGCACAACGGGCTTCCCAAAGAGCAGTTATGGTGCCTACTACACGACGTAAGTGACACTGCTCTAGTACATATGGTCGGGGGATGTGATATACGTGAAGCTATCACTAACCACACGCGTTGATGCCCGTACAGGTACGGATTTCAAGAGATCACCGCCGCAATAGCGACATACCTTCGTGCGCGCCAGAGAGAATTCATTTATTCGAGTCCATTCATTGGTCTGAGCTGCGACGAGAGTACGGACCGCGTCAAAGGGAAGCACATGATTGTGTTTGTAACCTTTCTGCGTGAGCATGCCATCACCACTGAGTTTCTGACTAACCTCTCCGTTGAGAAGTGTGATGCAGCATCTCTTTATGCTAAGTTCACGGGATTCCTTGACAGTATTAGCCTGCCGCTGGAGAAGGTGGCGAGTATCAGCACCGATGGGGCACCTGTGATGATAGGCAATGACACAGGCCTCGTTGGGCGTCTTCGACTGGAGATCCCGCACGTGGTGGCTACTCTCAGCCTCGCACACAGGTAAACTGTTGCTGTGGTGGTGTTGTTGCGGTATGAGATGTGCAACATGGTATGTCGCAGTGCGAATTCTAACACCCCCACCCGTGCATTTCTACCTGTGGCAGGGAAGCGCTTGCTGCAAAGGAGGCGTCTAAGTCACTACCCGAGCTTGGCATAATCGACGCGGTTATCCGCGCAGTGGCGGAAGATCTCGGCAGATCTACCAACTCCGACCGCAAGTTCAAGGAGCTGCATGAAGTGTTCACGCATACCATCTTCGAGGTCCAGGGGATCCACAGCGTCCGCTGGTTGAGTCGCGGAGATGCAATCGCACGATTCGTACGCGTTCTGCCTGTTGTCATCGTTATGCTCGATGAGTCGGACAAGACAATGTACCACTTAGTAACGTCGTTCAAGCTTCATTACTTCCTGTTCTTCTTGGCAGATGTGCACACGGCACTCAACGCGCTCAACCTGCTATTCCAGAAGCGACAAATGAGTTGTTGAGTTCCGTTTTGCAGTTCTCTTCTTCTCCCAGGTACTTATCTTTTGTTTCGGTGTACCAATTCTCCCCCCACCAACAGGTCGACCTCACTGCAGTGCACTCCCAGGTGAGGCGGACCATCATCTACATGGAGTTGAGGTACCTGAACTGTGGCCAGCAGTTTGGCGGTGGGACCAGCGAGCTGCTGTCTGCTTTCCTCGCGCGGCACGCCTCGCCCGGCTGCCGTGAAGTGACTGTGGAAGGGGTGGACAAGGAGGGTCAGCCCCGTGTACACAAGTTCCAGCTGCACGAGGAGGCAGTCAAGGGATACACCACCAGCAGCGGGGACATGCAAGGCTGCTACACCTGCTGCCGCTCATTCGCCCGCGAGCTGGTGTACAACCTCGAGCTGCGCTTGGGAGACCTGACGCGCTTGAACGGGGCGAAGCTCTTCATGCCCCGCTCGTGGCCGAGGGGCGTCGAGGCAAGAGACGCAGAGTGCAAGGAGCACACCTGCACGGCCTCGTCCATCTGTTGCAGGCCAAGAACCGGGACACGATCTTGCCTGGTGAGCGAGAAATAGATCCCCACTGACCTGCGTGTATGCATTGCCGTTTCCGTGGTTGCGTTATTCCCATGTTGTGCGCTTGACTTTCTACCCTGGTTGTGCTCAACCCGTTTCACAGGTGTCCAGAAGCGTGCGGCACGAGCGGAGCTGCGCACGTTCGTGCCGGTGCTCTCCACTGCCCCCAAGGAAGAGCAGCCCTTTCACGCAGGTTTGAAGCCCATCTTGCAGACCAACAACTGGCAGACCAGCTACCCCAACTTAGTCCGTCTGTGGGCTGCGGTCGCTGTTCTGCCTCTCAGCACAGTCGAGTGCGAGCGTGGGTTTTCCCGCCAGAATGTGATCAAGTCGTGGCGCCGGACGAGTCTCTGCAACGCCAAGCTGGGAGATTTGCTGGCAATGAGTCTGCTCGACTACGACATGGAGTGGGATAAGGTGCTGGACATCTGGCGGAGCACCAGGAAAAGGCGCCCCAGCAAGCGCAAGGAGCAAGCTGCGCCAGAGAAGGAGCGGGCCAAGGCCAAGTTTGTTAAGGGGAGTGGCCGCCGGGTGGTGGAGGAGGAGGACCTAGACGAGGGCATGTGTGGTTCTGCAGGCGATG